GATCTTCCGTCAGTGATAATCATTCTAGGCATTCTGTATCTAGTGAAAATATTTTTCATTAAAAATCTTGAAACACTTTTAGCGTCACAACGAGGTAAAGCTTGTGCTTCAATCCACTTAGAAACGTAGTCTACAGCAATTAATATGTATAAATTTCCAAATAAAGGAATAAATGGTACCATGAAGTCTAATCCTCAAACATCAAAGATCTCAACTTCTAACATGAAATTTAGAGGCATTTCATTTCTTCTAGATATATTACCTACTCGTTGACATCGATCACAAGTTTTTATGTATCTATAAACATCTCTAAAGATAGTAGGCCAATAATGAATGATTAGCTCAGTTTCTTCATAAGGTACATATCTTCTCATAATTAGATCCTTACATTGTTTATATAAATAAGGCTCTTCCCAAAAATATGTTTTCGCATCATGAATGAATTTTCTTTGTTGCTGCAGGGTCAGCATAGGTGGCAAAATATCACTTACAATATAGTTAACAATATTAGCATACCATGGTATTTTTCACTCATTAATATTATAAAGTTGTTCATCAGGGAAACTGTCTGTAATTTCATTGTCAATGTCAGATAATTCATGATTTTCTAATCTTGACAAATGATCAGCAATTTGATTATCAGTTTCTTTCCATCAATAACCACAAGATCAAATTCTTGCATTAAAAGTATTCATCTAATTAACCTTGATTTGACATCTTTCTTTTACATCAGATATTCTATAGCAGAGTGATCAGTGTGCACAACACATTTAGCTTCAATTAAATAAGATCTAAATTTATCTAAAGCATACACAATGGCTAATAACTCTTTTTCAGTAACAGTATAATTAATTTGTCACTGGAGCTTTATCAACCCTTTCACGGATAGATTTGTTTCGCATTTTGTCTCTGAGTGTCAAATCATTCATCCACCTAATCATTCTCATCTCAGCAACACTTAAATTTGTTTAATGTTCTCTTTTAAAGGCCAGCATTCAGCACCAAACAGTATTACAGGTCTCACCACCATCTTATAAAATTTTCATTTAAGTCTAAGCGGTACTTTTCTATCACAAAATAGACCTGATGCATTCCTCCACTGCAACAATCTTTTGATAAAATATTTACGCTGGTTGTCAACTACCTAATGTAACCCTCCTCTTTCGCATCCTTCGAGGCTTAGGACCGAGCAATGGCGGTGTTTCCTAAAAGCCAAAATCCTCCGTGTAGGGAATCATGGAATGCAATTGATAAGGTGCAAGTAGAAATCCTCTATTAGCTGAAGTTAAGTTTAAATTATCCCCTTAGACAAATATCAATCACATATCTATGAAGTCCCATTGGATAATACAACCTATGGTTGCTGATAATAAGTTTTAATCAATTTGAATCAGCTACCTCTTTTAACCAAATAGAACATGCTTAACAACAACTCCAGACAATCAAATCATGAGATATTGATCAAATTTATCATAATTCCCCTCAAAATCTGCTTCAAGCTATGGCGATATATTTCTTCTATTTAAAACTAAAATCACTATTATTCTATGCTAAGCATAACATCTAACAATTATTCTTAATTAAAAGCTATCTCTTGATATTGGGAGGGGTAATTAATCTTAAGAGCTTGCGTATGTAAGAATCCTAAAATAATATCATAAAGTCATAGGAAAATGAGATTGAAATTTCTAAGTATTAGCTTAACTAAAAATAAAATCTATTACCTAAAACTTTAAAACAAAACTACAAACTCTCACACAAAAATGGTACTCAAATTTTCAAAGCTAAGCATATATATTCTCATTATTTCATATTTCTTTGCTATATTTTTGAGATAGTTAATCGAATTCTTAACTAAGCTTCAAAACACTATCAATTTTTTAATCAAACTACAGAAGAAATTTAACAAGAATTTCCAAGGTCCATAGATTTTTGCTAGAATACATAAGCAATAAGAACATTATTAATTATTATAGAATTTATCATACTAATTCAAATCTAAATTCCCTAAACAGCAATAGATGTGGACAATATTCATTAATCAACTTCAAAACATAGGCTTGCACGGTAATAACACTGATGACAAAATAAATTATAATTTTTGAAATCTGAAAACCAAGCAATAATATCTTACCTTTAATCGGGATCTTTTATCTTCTATAGCCTTTAGTGTAGCTTCCAGCACATCATTATAAAAGTATTCCCTTATTTCCTTAGAATGGGGAATGTTGTTTAGTCTAGTAGGGATCCCGCGCCACTTTTTCTGTGATAGGAATGTTTCAACAAGAAAATGTGTTATTCTAAACTCATTCTTTTGAACAAATAAACTAGTCATCGCATTGGATTTGGAAAGGAAAAATAAAAAATAACATTAGCACGATCACCTGAGTCGAAAACGAAACAGTGGAGGTGCAAACTTCAACAGAATCTCCTATGAGCAAGCCGAAAGCAGAAAATTACAAAAAAAAAAAAGGTCGAAACCTTCAATAATTACAGCTGATATTTATTTAGAAAAGCATTAGTGCCAACAAACATAAAGCATATGTAGCGTTAAAAAAAGATAAAGTCATTTCAAGTTCATAGAAAGTAGGAATTTAAAAAACTGCACATTACAGTCCATGCTGATGTTAATGAATCATGTTGAACATGTCATAATGACCGGTCAAGAATGAAGGAAAGATAGTACGACAAGGTTTGAGTTTTGTGTAGTGGTCCAGCATATCATGGGAAGAACTACGACTGTTGCAAGAATGCAGAGATTTTATAAAAAGTTGTAATAGTTTCAAGATTAAAGCCACTGAAATTGCAATGCAGGAGGATCCAGCATCAAATTGACCCAAGAAGATCAGTCCAATCAATTTGCAAGCCTATGTCAAGCCTAAATAAAATCAAACTCGGTCTTAGAAGAAAGAATGGTGTGTGGACAGGAGGCTACATGATGACAAATTAAATCAAGAAAGCTTCATTTCAAAAGCCAAACTACCAATCATAAAGGCCAGCCGAAGTCAACGAAGGGAAGAGAAAAGGTGGTTACCAATTCAAATTTAAAGGAAGAACTTAAGGATGTTCAAAATTTCATCTCCTCAAATCATTCCAATCATGCTTAAATCAGAAACTGACAAAGGAAGGAGCGGAGGCAATAAATCAATTTCCTTGGATTTGTTCAGACTTTAAAGCTTTTATCAATTATCTTGTCTATCATTGGGTTTTATTTACCATAAAAACCAGCTTGTTCGTAGATAATTTGATTTCATATCAATCAAGGAATTCATGACATGTTGAGTTTAGCTCTCTCTCTCCCTCTCTTTCTCCTTCACAAGTTTTGTCCACATAGGCCTCTCCCATTTCAATTTTTGTCCATATAGGCCTCTCGCTTCAAAAATATAGGCCTACCACCTCCCTCTTACTAGAAGTAGCATCTCTCAAATCTCTCTACCCAAACGTAGGTGAAATTTAGCAAGAAAATTAAAAGCATCAAGAAGGCAAAAAAAAAGCAAGGAGAAGTTCCAAAAGCAATTGAAGAAAGGAGCAAAAGAAGTAGTTGATCCAAACAAGAACTAAGGAGGAAGTAAGCAAACACAAGAGAGTTCTTTCTTGGATCAGCGTAAAGCTGTAGACTCAAATTCAACTTATAATTTAGTGTTCGTTCCTCAAGTGCATCTCTTTCTAGTCTCCAGTCAATATTACCTCTTCCATCAATTAGCTTTAATTATCGGAAAATATCTTGGGTTGGAAATAAAGGGTTGTCATACTCATCCTCTTCAACAATAGATCTGGCATTTAGTGTGGAATCTGGCATCAGATCAATAATGTTGTTCCGGTTTTCAAACCCTGAACAAGTTTTGATTCACAATATCCTATAAATCAAGATGAAGCATTAACCTCATTTATTAAGAGAGTAAAGTGTCAAAATAGTCCCCTAACAACTTACATGGGGTCATTATAGTCCCAGAATCTAAAAAAGTGTCAAATTAATCCTCCTTTATATCTTGAGCTGGGAACTAAAGTGATATTTTAATAGATTATAGGACTAAAATAACTCCTTAAATAACCCACTACTAAGAATGTGGACCGCAACCCGCTACAAAGATGTCAACCGCTATGACAATTCTCATAAGTTGTAAGAACAAGAACTAAGACTTTAAGGAGCACTATTCAACATTTTCAGTCAGTCCTGGAAAAACATCAAGCAGGATGTGCTTCGCGTTTGCAATGAAACCTTACAAGCTTTACTTCTGTGCCAAATCCCTCATTAAACAAAAAGCTCGACCACCACATTAAGTGCTATCTAATCATCAGCTTGAACTAAAATGAATCTTAAAACCAAAGGTGGTAAAAAAACAATCTTATCTTATGCTGACAAACATCATGCACCAACCTTCAACAGTGCTCAGCTTCTTTGACTTAATAGCATCAGCATGAAATGGATGAAATAAGAAGTCAACCTCATCAAATACAACATCCTTCGGGCCGTTTCCATCAATCTAAATCCTAGTAGTATGAGTTAGTAAACTCAACAAACATGCATATTATATTTTAACAAAAAACTGTTCATGCAATATCTTGAATTAGATGAAAGGAAAAAACCTTCTTTAACAAGTCCATGTACAAGGGCAAAATAGCTTCTACATTCCTCTTATATGTCTCAAGACGTGACTCAGCCTATTAAAATAAAACAGTAAAACTTAGTAGCATACAATAAATCAAGAGGACATGTTAAAAGTATTGCTTCCAACATGATAGAAAATAACAGCACAAAGCAACGGCCAGAGCATAGAAGGTTTTTGGGGAAAAATAAATTGTAATATTCAGTGCAAGGATGGCGAGAATGTAAAAATGAAACTCAATGAAGCACTGAGGTAATGATAAATTAGAGTTTAATAAAAAATGTCTAGTAAGATTAGCATTCACATGCATTATAATTTTAAAGTTAAACTGCTGCAAAATTTAACAACTGTCCTATTATGTTTTCTGCAAGAAAATGGAGGAAAATTGCAATAGTTGAAATTGAAGGAAAACATAAAATTTGGTAAACACTACTTTTTCTTGAGTATCATCAGCACGGGCTATGAGTCGTGCTGAAATTTCATCCGTCTCAGGAGGTAAGTTCTTAAGATGGTAGATTTTTCTGGTAACAGGATCTATCCTCCTACCAACACATCTGTCGATCAGAATTTCATCAGGAACCTAAGCATCAAAACATCAAATAATATGAGAAGTCAAGATGCAAAACTAAATAAAACTATTGAAATTATGCAACAAAAAAATTCATTGACATGTGATTTTAAGTGTTTAAGAGAAGAGATTCAAAGCATTTATATTTATCATAACAAAGGCATGATACCAGACAATCATTATAAAATATAATTTATTATGATGAGATAAACAAGTTAAATTTTCAAGTAAATCCAAGTTTACTCACAATAAAGTACAAAGAAAATTAGTAACATTAATGGTTACAAAATACTATTCAAGCAGCGCAAAAATGAAAACATGTACAAGCTAACTGCTTAACCCTTCCTCACAAAGAATAGAAAGATCAATGCACATCTGTTAATTGATAACTTTACAATAATAAACTACCAGCTATAGCCTGTGAAGACCCACCAATTTCAACGTAATTTCTTATACCACTAGATCATGTCATTGGACCTTAGTAGTGGTAATCCTAAAGAAATTCACATTTGAGTTCACAATACATCCGAATCATGATTCCGCCATAATATTGTTTCTTTCCTTTTCATGATTCCGCCATAATATTGTTTCTTTCCTTTTTTAGAGAATAAACTGGGGCATAATCCTTAGAGTTGATAGCTACAAGCTTTAGTCCTTTGAGCAATCAACTATGATTCACAGGTAAGCTTAGTAATTAAGTTATGTAATATTAGAATAATTAGCCACGACATAAGCACGACGCACATCATATACGTGCCCAAAGAACAAATAATAAAATAAAATATGTACATAAGTGTCGTAATATGTTAGTAAAAGAAATAATAAAAAATTAATAAATTTTAGAATTTATATAATATTTATTCCATATTTTTTATATTTACTCTCACTATTTTGTATTTCAATTTATTTCCTTCTAATATTCTTAATAAAAATAACAAATTAAATTACCAAATATCTAAGATAATCATCTATCATTTTTTGAAGATATAATTTATTATATTTCCCAATTCCATCTTCCAACCATATTGATACTATGTTGTTACTGTAATAAAATAAACATTTAAATTTTATAATATATATTATAGTTACTAAGTATTTTTAATAATATCCCATATTTGACTTTTGGTCTTCCATGTGATTAGCATTTTCAGTATACATGTCTTAATAAATAAAAAATTCAATAAAATAAAAAAATTTATAATTTATACTATATTTACTCCATATTTTCTATTGTTATTCTCCTAATTTTGACTAAATACTCCATATCAAAATAAGTTTTTAAATTTTTAAAATATTAAAGCTAGACTGTCATGTCTATCGTGAGTCCATGTCCTATATTTTCAATAATAGCATGTCATGTCATGTGTCCATGTCATCTCATGTGTCCATGTCTGTGTTTGTACATTGTAAGCAATAGTAAAGTTTTAAAGGTCAAATTTCGTGTACCCTATTTTGAGTCCTTGGTCAAAACTAAGATTTTTATTCGGCCCTTCGCCTCCTATCCTAGTCAATTTCTTCCTTGACATCTTGTTTTTCTTTATCTTCTTCATAAAGAAGAAATAAAAATGCCGACTTCTCCATCCTTCATATAGCTGTCCTTCTTGTTGTTTCATATTTTCATTTTAGAAATTGCATCCTCTGCTTATGAAAGCATACCATCCAAAAATCTGAGTAACATTCTACAATCTTCTGGCAATCAACGAATCACTACTGCATTTCAAAAATCCTATTTGTAATTTGTTAGCATAAGTTCCTAAGACAAATGACCTTAAGTTGTCCTTTCTTTTTTATAACTCCTTAAAATGATATTCCTATTTTTTTCCAATAGAAAACATGGATAAATTTGGCCATTAGCTTTATTGATAGTTTTCGAAATGTTTTCAATGGAATCCACATTCTTCCTTTATAATTCAAGTTATATTTCTCTGCACCTTTCTATTTATATTTTTTCAGCGAACGCATCACGAAAGAGAGAAGACTAAATCAATGAAAGCTATATAACAAACCCTATAATTCTTCTGAGCATATGATTGTCCCAATTTAATAGTCTTAAGTCCATAATTTCATTATCAATCCATTTCATATTGGTGGTGGTGTTGGAAATACAAGATATAATTTTGAAGCAAAATTTTATGAGCCGTTATCTGAAAGTAACTTGATAGTGATGGAAATATTTTAAGATAAGATAGAACTGAGAGGATGTGAAGCAGTTGTAACTTATATATAAGCTAATATAGACAAAACCAATGTCAGCTGTTCTTTTGAATATCACCTTGGCTGGGTTCAACTGGTGTGACTCGTCAACATGAACAAGATTCAGTCAAGTCATCTCTACGCGGATAATCAATCAATTAACAAAATTTGCCAAGGTGCTTGCCGAAGTCATACTTAATTCAAGTCATCCAAATCCATTCAACTGGGAATTATAGGCACAAAGGCTCATTAAATTCACCAACTGAACTCTCCCAATGATTCTAAGCAGCTCGCCAGAACCCAAAAAACACGTGAAGTTGGCATGCCACTTCACATGAATTTAAGAGTCAAAGCAACTCCCCTGAACACAGCAAACAAAAGTGAAGTTGGCTGGTCACTTCACATGAATTCAAAAGTTTAGAGTAACTCGCTAGAACTCGGCATGCACAATTGAATCTACTGGCAACTTCACTTAAATTGATTATTTACTCATCAATCATGATGTACATTCTATACAATCAAATAGCTAAATATAGTAAAGAACGAATTGTACAAAACCTAATCTATTCATTCATAATATGGGCTTAAATAGGGAATTACAATGTTTTACAAATAAACCCTTAAACTCCTTCGATATTCTCTTTTTACCAATAGGACCATAAATAAGGTCCAATTCTCAACACTCCCCCTCAAAATGAGCAGAAGATATCCACTAAGCCCTTACTGCCACATAGCCTAGACAAATCTAAGGAACTAAGTCCTTAGTGAGAGAGTCAGCCACTTGCTCTACGGTGGTTATAGGTCTATTCTCTCTCTATGAACCTATGATCTAGCATTAGGATTTTCCTAGTGGCTCTCATAGATGACTAGTGATGGGACCAAAAACAATATAGACCTCCAACAAAATCGTCACTCCTTAGAGTTTCATACGCAAGACCCCAAATCCTCAACCCTTGATAGGGAGAATTAGCATTTAATGATTAAAGCCCAAGTTGAGTTCCCAGAAGGTGGAAAGGCCCTAAAAGAAACTTTGATCCTAAAGACTTAGTTTTTCCTTTTGGTATCCCACTTTCCACCCCCAATGCATGGTAATCTTTTCTTTGATTTGGAAAGCAGCTCATTGGGTATGAGGCAAATTTTAGACCAAGGTAAGGTTAACCTTCTAATGGGACCCCAAAATTAAGATCCTAAAAATCATCAAATTTAAACTAAAATAAAATTAAAATCATCAAAAGAAAATTAAAGAAAATTATATTTATTAAAATTAACCCGGAGAAAAATTAAATTCACAAAAATTTGAAATTTAAAATTTATCAAAATTCTCAAAATCACCAACTAAAAATCAAACCTAAGAGCCAAACACTTCAAAATCAAATTTAAAGCTCAAACTTCATTAAAATTTTAAAATTAAAACTCTAAACATCCAAAGACCAAATGAACCAATAAATTCAGATAAAAACAAAATTAAACCAATTCAAAAGAAAACAAATTGACATAAGAAATTGAGTCGCCAATTAAATCAATTATCATAAGAAGGATTACACTAAAGGTCGCCAAAATTAATGAAATCCCACATGAAATTAACACAAACTAATACACCCAAGAAAGATTAAACTCAATTAATACATAATTAATCAAATCAAAACCTAAAAGCTTGTAGTTAAACCTAATATCAAACCTTAAGAGCCCAAGCCCAAATCCTAAGATACATGACCCAAAAAGTCAAACATAAACCCTATTAATCAAAATTAAACTAATGACACCCAAGACACAATTAACCCATTAAAAAGAGAAATAAGACCAAAATTTATCAAGTTAAAACCAAGCACTGAAGAAAAACCTAAGACACTAAAAGCCAAGGAATGAACACTTGCCACCTTGATCAAACCACACCAAAATCACTTCATGTAAGACTAAGACCAAACCAAGTCTGAGTCCAGCCACCAAGTCTCAACTCTCCCCAATAGCCTCACACTCCCCTCATGCCACCTCCACCACCACTGGAGCTCACTTGCCCAAAAAAATTTCAAAGAATGGAAAGCTCCCCTCCCTCTGCAAAAAATTCACTGACCAAGCTCTTCCCAAGCACCTTTCCTGACTAATTAGATCCAAAACCAACGACCAAGGGAGGACAGAAAGCCAGGGGTCGACTCAAATAATAACTTAATCAACCTTCTCAATTCACAATTTACCCACATTTAGGCGTCATAAGACACTAATCATTTAGACGTAATAGAAGTATACAGATTTTGTGTTGTGATTATTTTGCTTGCTCGTTAGACGCTCGCTAGGATAAGTAAATATTTATCTGTTGCACTACAATGACAGATTTTTTTTTTCACGTTTCTAGACCGTTATAATAAGCTTAGAATACTAACTCAATTTTGCGGGATTGTTTTAGTTAAAATGGTTAGGCTGTTATAGTAACCTCGGGTTTGTTTTTTGCAGTTTTTCTTTTTCTTTCTAAAATTAGGGTGTGTTTTTGTCAGTCGACTGTCATAACACGAACTATTCAAAAAAGGGCAATACACGAAGCAAATGATGATCCTCAAATAAACCATCAACAATACTTTGGGTGATGTCGATCAATGAGTCTGACATAAGTTTAGGATCAGCACCAATCTTATTATCTGTGTCATGTGCTTTTACTCGATGTCTGCCCCGATTTTTAGGCTGGTGCTTTATTTGTTCTTTTGTTTGAATTATTAGTAAGCTCATCTAAGAATTAAATTTTTTAACCAAATAAAAATTACATAAAAATTGCATTTATAACCTAAGAAATATCATGCATATTAAACAACGAAGTTAACATTATAATT